TCTCAGTGTATATACATTGAGGGATATACATTTCTTGGGGATAGTGATGTGTCGGAGGGGTCATTGACGCCTGGCTCGGCATTTAATGGGGCCCAGGTGGCGGACTCACCCACCTCTACAACCTAGATATCATCTTCACAAAAAACTCTCTTGACTCACTTCCGGATATCATTAGAATGAGAGATTAGCAGCATGAACTATAATGTATCAGCATTTAATGATGCACAGTAGAACTCATTGGACATGGAATTAGCTTACAAATTTTATAAGAAATGTAAATATTAGGTGTTAATAATGAAAACAGAATCAGCGTTTAATGCGTCTGCCTTACGAAGCAAGAACCACAACAGATGCTTTACAGGTCTTGTGAATATGCTGAGTTGGGGCGACCTTGAGGAAACAAGATGTCAGTGATCATGTGTCGTTCTCGAGTGTCGGATTGACTCGGGTGGACGACGAAAATATTAACTCCATCCCAGACTCGTTTCACCTGTCCTTGGTTCCTCTGCAAGCTTTGTCTTCTCTTGTTTAAATATAGTATTAGTCTTCATAGTTTGTTCCAGCTGTTGAAATAAACATGTGTAATGGTGTATCGTGAAGGAGGGAGGCCGCTTGTCCTCCAACGTGACCTTAGTGACAAAGGAATGTATCAAGTTCGTGGATGAGCTTCACTCTGGTGTGACCGGTTCCACCATTGTGAGCGATCTTTAATCAGTTTATCTGTATCGCACTGATTTCGCACTGCTAAAAGGACATCAAAGCAAACACAGATCCAGTAGATCGTTAAGCAGAATAATAATAATGAATTTGGTGATTAATGCTGTGTTAAAGGAATGAAAAACAAGCGGCATATGTAGATAAAAACACTTATGTACAGTTCAAGACATTTGTTAAGGAAATGTCTTAAACTGTTCATATGTGTCTTAACTACACCATAACCCAGTCAAGCAGCGTATACAACCTGACAATTTTATGATTAAAATCAGCTGTGTTTGATTCAGGATACCAGGTGTTTATACACAGCTGAGTGACCTGTACGCCCTGCCTTCATACAAAACTGGGCCACACTGATGCCATGGAACTTAATCAGGGAGTCTTGATAAGTTTTGAAGTCGTTAACAAAAGTTCTAAATGATAGTTGATGAGAAAAATGAGTATGTGTCCATGTGGTATGTGTTCATACCGCAAAAGTAAGTGAAATGACGAGTTTATAGAAATTGTGTAAGAGAGAGAAAAATGATGTGTGGTTGAGTGTTGTAGTGGTAACTGAATGGTCATAATTTTTGATAATTTTTTTGTGAATTCGAGCTTATGTATTCTTTGTTGTGTATCTGTGAGTGTGTGTGTTTGATGTTACCAGTGTTGGGCGCTTTTGTGTGTTTCTACCACTGTTATGTTTGTTGTTGCTGGTGTTTGTTGTGAGAGTGGATGATGCAAATGCAGAGGATATACTGTAGGGCTGGTTAATGAAAGAATTAACTCACAGTACTTAAAATATAATTAAAAAAACTAAAAATTTCAGAATGAAGAGAAGAAATTCCGAGGAAGAAATGGTGACTGGTAGTGGTAGATGAAACAAAGGAGAGATTTAAGATTTTTAATATCTTGCCCAGAGGAGCGAGTGTACTCTGCAGCGTCACTCATCCTGTAACTGTGAAGGCCGACACAAAAACAGTATATTTTAGCCCAAGTACTTCACACGGCATTTACGACATCAAATCCACTCTTAACTACTTCATTATTCAGGTATAACGACTTTTGCAACATCACCTTTACAAGACAAAGACACAAAGGCAGAATAAACGCTGGACTAAGACTACGTTTCGCTTAGAGAACAAGCATTTCAAAAGCCTGAAATAGCTTTTGATTTTTTTTATCAACCCTTCGGTATTTTAAACCATTTATACCCATAATTATTTTGATCTAATTTCAGAAGATCCTGCATACTTTTTGTAGTGTTATGAAATTACGTTGCAGTGAGCATGTATAATTCATCAATGTTATGGTCTTGATTTTATATTCACGGATATAATGGATGAGGGTGTTTTTCTCTCCACACTCTCGACACTGTTTTTCCTCTTTCCTGGAGTTGCTACACCAACGTGCTTCCTATGCAGGTAACCTGAACAAATTCTGGGTAGGTAATGGTACAAATATCGACCCGAGGGTGAAGAGACACAAATGCAGTTAGTATATGAAATTTTTTATTGACGGCATTTCACCCACAAAATGGGCTTTACCAAGCCTTAGATAAAGCCTACTGCGTTGTATATAATTATCCTGTATCTTCTTAAATGAATCCTGGTTACCTCCAGAGAATCTCCTGAGGCGTTCTAGCACTCGGGCTGCGGCCTGAGTACCAGGAATGACTCAGCTTGAGTTGAGTCACCGAATAATTGTTATAGGGCTGCCCCGCCATACGGCATAGTACTCCACTTGACACAAAGACGGCTCACTGTGCCTGTGACATGGGGCTGCACCCGCCATAGGTCTGTAAAAGGTACTCCACTTAACATGAATGTTCACCGTGCCCTGCCATAGGGCTGTAAACAGTACATCACTTGTACGAACTTGACACTCCTTCGGGAGCCACTGCCGGTCATCACATGGAGAAGACCCGGGCCAGGACCCGTCCTGGTAAACTTATATAGACATGAACATCTGCTCAGGAAGATCCTTTTGTGACTTGACAAAGCCCAATGTGTGGACGAAACCTAATCAGGAAAGGATCGCATTATACTGCATTTGTGCAGATTCTTTCATCACAACTCAAGTTACTGTGATAATAAGAATGTATCTACACAAAGGTCACTCAGTACTTTTTTATAATATTTTTGCCTTTATCATGTCCTCTACAGTGACATTTCTAGAATTTAGACTGAATAAAACTAACAGTGAATCTGAAAAACAACTAAGTGTACATTTTTGTCTAATTTACACTCTCAGATGCCAGTTGTTGTCAACTGATTTGCTGTAAGTTGACGATATAATTTTTTAAGACGTCTGGCAAACTTTTGCTTCATACTGAAGACTAATCTAGCAAAACCACTTTCAGGATCTGGAGATTCATCAGTGGAGAGTAATAATGAAGGGGAGTTGATAAGTAGTGGATGCGAAGGAAATAATAAAGAAAAGGAGAAAAATAATGGAGAGGGAAGCAATAACAAAGGTGAGGAGAGAAATAATAAAAGCAATTGGGAGGTTAAGATGTTACTCACGAATTATAAGATACGCAGGAGAGCGTGTAAGGAATGTAGGGGGTTAAGGCCAACGAGCAGTGAGATTTTTTTTTTTATTTAACAGGCTTCGATACAGCAACATGGTTTTGCTATCCTGTTTCTGTATGATAGTTACACAGTGGAAACAAGCTTCCTATGTTTTTCTGTCGTATTCCATAACGCAGTATTGGGTTCATATATTGTGCTGAAATCTGTCATCCTGAGCTGGGAGACAACGAGGCTATCGTCGATTATTCTATTAAAGGTAGAGGTTCATTAACTACGAGAGCTTCAGAGGCTGCCTTGCAGCAGAGCTGGAGTTACTGCTGCTTGGGAATGGGAGGCTGGAAGGTGGAGGGTGAGGTTAAGCGTTGGGTGCTGAGGGCGTTCACTCGGACGGTCCGGCCAGCATCCGCACCTCTGATACCTCCCCGTCTGATAGAAACCTATTATCTATTACAAAATTAAAAACTATTAAGGAACATAGGACACTATACTGTTAATCTAAGTAGAAGTTTGTTCGTTTCTCTGTAAGATTTGTAAACACAACCTTCCACATCTGTATTCATTGTTTTCTAGGTGCTCAGTAAGTCTTTCATTTCATCTACAGCAGTTCATACCTTACTTTGCTTGATTATTGACATCACATTTGTTAATCGCCTGCCACTTAATCTGTCATTAATAATTTGTTAAGGATATGTGTGTAAGTCGCTTTCTTGGTATTGTAACACCTCCTAATATTCCTCAAGGAAGGTGTTTTGATGCCGGTGATGGAGCTCTAAATCAAAACCGCTTCTTTCCTTGGATAAAACCCGATTGCCTCTCCTCCTCTTCATTCCCAGGCGCTGACTCATACGAGTTTAGCGTTTCATAATAGTAATAATAATAAATAATGGGACATTCCATCTGGTCTTGGTATCTTTGATGTATCAAGTTCCATCATGAGTTTCTTCGCCTCTTTATTAGTGGTTTCAGTACCAGACATTTTATCTTGGTTTACCCTCCCTTCTGTTTCTGCTTTTGGTTCTTGCTCACTTGTAAACACTATGGAATCTTGGGTGGATGTTTGGTAGTAGGTCGATAAATGGTGATACAAAGGCAGTTATAACAAGGAAACATTTTATTTATACTGTACAATAAATATAAGGTTCTTTTTCTCCTGTAAGTTTCGTTATCCCCATACAGTCTTCTGTTAAACTCGTCGTGTATGTATGTGTATGCACATGTGCGTGTGTGTATGTATACACACATGTGCGTGTGTGTATGTATACACATGTGCGTGCGTGTATGTATACACACATGTGCGTATGTTTTATGCAAACTTCAGTGGTCCACAACATACTGTATGAGTAATGACCTCATTAGAGTGCAGAAATAAACTGCTTAACACAGTCGTTACATAATATTCATTCACTTTCTCGTCGCGTAATGGAGTAACTTTTAATGTCAGCACATGAAAGCTCAACATGTTGTTGTATTAAGAACATGGGAATATAGGAGCGTTGCAGTAGGCCTAGAAGGCCGATGCTACTTAGAAGTTTATCTCGCTCTTCTGCCAAATCTAAATTTATTCAGTTTGAATCTGCTACTGCGAGTCTTGTCTAGGTTAGATGTACTGTACTGATTGCTTTTATTGGCAAAAAAAAGGGGGCAGTTCATTATAATTGAAATAATTATGCTAATTAAACACCTATAAGAGTCAAAACAATTGTTAAAAGCTGAAATAACGGGCGTATTAAGCTGTTAATTATGACGCGGGTGGGTAGGTAAAGAATGACTTACCTGTTATGGTGAGTGTGAGGGTGGCGGCCAGGAGGACCAGGGAGAGTACCGACCTCAACATCATCCTCATTTCCTGGAGTAACTCATGAACAGGCCACCCGTTCCAGGCACTCGCCAACACTCTTCCTTCACACACACACACACACACACACACACATACACACTAACACACACTAACACCCTCCTCCGCGACGATGTTCTCACTTCACTCAGTCTTGCACCTGCATCATCGTCTCAGAGTACACACTCTTAACTAAAAGTTGGGTTGATGTTTTTCACTGAGTTATACGAGAACCGACAGCTTGTCAGTGAGAGTGAAGGACCAGTGTGACGTGAGGAGTTCCCGGCCTAATGTAAGACGCTGCAGGGGCGATAGAAAGAGAGATCTCGGGCCACGTCCTACGCTCACAAGACTCCGGCAATAACTGAGAGACGGCAACCCCAGAGGACACCGACACCGCGGTCGGGACGAATAGCTGCCAAGGAAGGTGGTGCTAGTGTTGAGGGTGGGGTTGAAGGTTGGGTTGAGGGTGGTGCAGGTAGAGACAGTGATGGTGTGTAGTGTAGGTAGATAGTGATGGTATTTGTGGTGCAGGTAGAGTGATGGTGTTAGTGGTGCAGGTAGAGTGATGGTGTTAGTGGTGCAGGTAGAGTGATGGTGTTAGCGGTGCAGGTAGAGTAATGGTGTTTGTGGTGCAGGTAATGGTGTTTGTGGTGCAGGTAGAGTGATGGTGTTAGTGGTGCAGGTAGAGTGGTGTAAGTGGTGCGGGCAGAGTGATGGTGTTTGTGGTGCAGGTAGAGTGATGGTGTTAGTGGTGCAGGTAGGCCAGGGGTTCCCAACCTTGTCTATGCCCCGCACTCCTAGGAAATGGTTGAGTAATGTTGCACCACCTACCAAAGTAATCTCATATTTGAGGATGAAAACGTCAGATTTCTAATATTTTAATCACAGACTCAACCAAATACAGTACTGCGGGTGAACAAATTGAACTTGAGAAATAATCTTTTAATTTAGTGCATAAAATGCAAAAATAAATTGAGCAGTTAGAAAAGTTTTTGGTAAAATAAACGGAATCGTGCTTTTATTAGGACTCTGTCGCACCCCCTGAAATGACACCTCGCACTCCCTGGGAGTGCGTGCACCCTACGTCGGGAACTTCTGAGGTAGAGGGATGGTGTATTTGTGGTAGATGTAGAGTGATGGTATTTGTGGTAGATGTAGAGTGATGGTATTTGTGGTAGATGTAGAGAGAGTAATTTTGTTTGTGGTAGATGTAGAGAGAGTGTTGGTAAACAGAGAAATTAAAATCTAGTTCATGTACTGTTCTCACACCATATCCATCATACCTTCCATAACAATGAGACTAGGGTCAGGCCACAACAAATTCGAACCAAACAAGAAATATTCCCGTCACTTAAGTTAAGAAAGAGATATTGGGTTCAGAGGGAATTTATGAGAAGCGCTAAACACGTGTGGGTCATTCAGCATAATGAGTAGCGGATGCTTGATCCTCCAGTCACTAATAAAGTTTGCCCCTTGTTTTTTTTAATTCACTTTGACAAGCACCTATAGTGAGAGTGACGCTTCTCTAGATACAAACCACTCAGGCGTCATCAACGTCTAAAAGTGACACAGCGTCGAGGGGTAAATTCACTGGAAGCTTCGTTTATTCGCTGTTATTATTCCTTTGAAATTATTAACTTCGCATCATTACTCTGATACATTACTAGAAGTAAAGGAAAAATTATATATATAAAATGCGCAGGATGCCTTTCTTCAGACACTTTGTAAATTTGTCTAATGATACGTTTCTCCAGCAGAGGTTAGGCGGTGCGCGCGCGCACGCACACACACACACACACACACACACACACACACACACACACACACACACACACACACACACACACACGTCAAGAAATTAGAGAAAGTGCAAAGGTTTGCGAAAAGACTAGTCCCAGAGCTAAGGGGATTGTCCTACAAAGAAAGGTTAAGGGAAATTGGCCTGACGACACTGGAGGACAGAAGGGTCAGGGGAGACATGATAACGGCATATAAAATACTGCGCGGAATACACAAGGTGGACAAAGACAGGATGTTTCAGAGATGGGACACAGAATCAAGGGGCCACAGTTGGAAGTTGAAGACTCAGATGAGTCAAAGGGATGTTAGGAAGTATTTCTTCAGTCATAGAGTTGTCAGGCAGTTAAATAGCCTAGAAAGTGACGTAGTGGAGGCGGGAACCATACATAGTTTTAAGACGAGGTATGATAAAGCTCATGGAGCAGAGAGAGGACTCAGTAGCAGTCAGTGAAGAGGTGGGGCCAGGAGCTATGAATCGACCCCTGTAACCACAAACAGGTGAGTACAAATAGTTGGGTATACATATACACACTGGGGTGAGTATAACACGAAGCACATCTCCTGAGGCACACATCAACCAAATAACTGCTGCAGCATATGGGCGCCTGGCAAACCTAAGAACAGCATTCCGACATCTAAATAAGGAGTCATTCAGGACTCTGTACACTGTGTACGTTAGGCCCATACTGGAGTATGCAGCGCCAGTTTGGAACCCTCACCTAGCCAAGCATATAAGGAAACTAGAGAAAGTACAAAAGTTTGCAACAAGACTAGTCCCAGAGCTAAGGGGTATGTCCTACGAGGAGAGATTAAGGGAAATCGACTTGACGACACTGGAAGACAGGAGACATAGGGGGGACATGATAACATATAAAATACTGAGAGGGATCGACAAGGTGGACAGAGACAGGATGTTCCAGAGATGGGACACAGTAACAAGGGGTCACAGTTGGAAGTTGAAGACTCAGATGAACCACAGGGATGTTAGGAAGCACTTCTTCAGTCACAGAGTTGTCAGACAGTGGAATAATCTGGGTAGTGATGTACTGGAGGCAGGGTCCATACATAGCTTTAAGAATAGGTATGATAAAGCTCATGGAGTGGGAAGAGAGACCGAGTAGCGGCCAGTGAAGAGGCAGGGCCAGGAACTATGACTCGACCCCTGCAACCACAACTAGGTGAGTACTGGATGATGCACACAGGGTTGGTGGTGCACACAGGCTTGGTGGTGCACACAAGAGGTTTGGCGGTGTCTAGTTAAGGCGAATTTTAAAGATATCAGCGAGACCTGTGATCATGGATGTATTTTCTGTTAATATAAACAGGATACTGTGTGTGTGTATGTGTGTGTGTGTGTGTGTGTGTGTGTGTGTGTGTGTGTGTGTGTGTGTGTGTGTGTGTGTGTGTGTGTGTATGTGCGCGCGCGCGTTTGTGTTACCTGTTTATGGTTACAGGGGTTAAGTCACAGCTCCTGGCCCCGCCTCTTCACTGTTCGCCACTTGGTCCACTCTCTGTTTCACGAGCTTATCATATCTCTTCTTAAAGCTGTGTATGGATCCTGCCTCCATTATATTACTCTCCAGAGTATTCCATTTTCAGACAACTCTATGTCTAAAGAAAAACTTTTTAACATCCCTGTGACTGATCTGTCCATATCCACATTGTCAATTCTTCTCAGTATTTTGTATGTCGCTACCACGTCTCCCCTATCTCTCCTGTCCTCCAGTAATGTCAGGTCGATTTCCCTTAACTTCTCGTAGGACATACACCTTACCTCCGGGACTAGTCTTGTTGCAAACCTCTGCACTTTCTCTAATTTCTTAATTGCTTAACCAGGTGTGGGTTCCATATTGGTGCTGCATACTCCAGTATGGGCCTGACGTCACGGTTTACAGAGTGTTGAACGAGTTTTTGCTAAGGTGTCGAAACGTTATTCTTCGGTTTGCCATGCGCCCATATGCTGCAGCAGTTACCTGGTTGATGTGCGCCTCAGGAGATGTGCTTGGGATTATACTCACTCCAAGATCCTTTTCCCTGAGTGAGGTTTGCAGTCTTTGCCCCCCTAGTCCGAACTCTGCGGTCTTCTTTGACCTTCCCCAATCTTCATGATTTTGCACTTGGTGAGGTTAAACTCTAGGAGCCAATTGTTGGACCAGGCTTGCAGCCTCTCCAGACCCCTTTGTAGTTCTACCTGATCTCCATCCACTTGAATTCTCCGTATTAACTTCACATCGTCTGCAAACAGGAACACCTCTGAATCTGTCTCTTCCGTTATGTCATTCACATATATCAGAAACAGCACCGACGAGCCTAGGACTGACCCTTGTGGAACCCCGCTCGTTACAGTCGCCCACTCTGACACCTCGTCACATACCATCACTCGTCGTTTCCTTTCTGTCAGGTATTCTCTGATCCATTGCAGTGCCTTTCCTATTATCCCTGCCTGCTCCTCTAGGTTTTGCACTAATCTCTTGTGTAGAACTGTGTCGAAAGCCTTCTTACAATCCAAGAAAATGCAGTCTTCCCACCCTTATTTCTCTCCTGCCTTACTTCTGTCACCTTGTCATAAAACTCCAGTAGGTTTGTGACATACGATTACCACTTCCTGAAACCGTGCTGGTTATCGTATATAAGCTCATTCCTTTCTAGGTGCTCTATTAGTCTTTTCCTGATAAACTTCTCCATGACTTTGCATACTATACATGTCAGTGACAATGATATGTAGTTTAATGATACCTGACTGTCTCCTTTCTTAAATATTGGGACTACATTTGCTGTTAGTGGCTCACACAGCGCCTCTGCTCCCTCTCATGGATTTGCTTCGTGCATTTGTAGAGAATATATTTTTGTATGTTAGGTCCAATCTTGCTGGTTCATCCTCCCCTCTCACTCTGGTAGTGTCCTTAACATGTTGGTGCATGAGGTTTTCCAGCACCACATCCAACATCTTAGCTCTCCATGTTTCGGGACCCCCATGTGGCTCCAGGTTTTCCCAGTCAATCTCCCTGTGGTTGAAATCCCCTTAATTAGCAAATTTGCTCTGCTGGAATGAGTTCTTCTTGCCACCTCAGCAAGTGTGTCCACCATTGCTCTGTTGCTCTCTTCATATTCCTCTCTTGGCCTCCTGCAGTTCTGTGATGGATTATACATCACTGCAATGACCACCTTGTGCTCCCCAGACTGAAGTGTACCTACTATGTACTCCCTTTCTCCTGTCTAGTCTATGCCTCCCATTTTCTTGAATTTCCATCGTTTTTTTACGAGCAGAGCAACCCCTCCTCCCCCTCTGCCCCTTCTATCTTTCCTCATGATCTGGTATCCTGGTTGGAAGACTGCATCTGTTATTGTCTCCGTGAGTTTTGTTTCTGTAACTGCTATGATGTCTGGGGACTTCTCATTGATTCTTTCTTGCCATTCCTCATGTTTATTCGTTAATCCATCCGCATTTGTGTACCAAACCTTCAACTTCTGTTCTAATACTGTAACTGTGGTCCTGGCGGAATACTGGGGTTGGGAGAGCAGGAGCCCTGGTGGGGGCCTGTGGGGGGTTGCAGTGGAGGTGGAGGAAGAGCTCCCATAGGGGGTTGC